ATCTTCTGTCAACACCAGTCAAGGCTCTTCTTATCCACTGAAATGACCGTCAGAATGCTAATTCCTCTCCCTCTGTCCCATACTGCATTGCCAGACCTATAACACTTAAAATCACCTTAATGAGTTCACTTATAGACTCAGACCTGCAAGGATTCCGATTCCTTTAGCTCATTTCTGAATTTAAAAACTGTGAACTCACATTCTTATTTACTGGGGTGCTGCACCCCCTGCACATATCTAGAGGTCAGAGGTCACTTTCCCAAGCTGGTTCTCCTCTTCCAACATGTGAGTCCCAGGGATTAAACTCAGCTGGTCAGGGTGGACAGCAGGTGCCTGTGTCTGCTGAGCTAGCTCATCAACCATTTTTTTTAATGCCAGGGCTGGAATCCAGGGCCTCGCACATGTTAGGCAGCACCCTACCACTGAGTCCTTGATGGTTTTTTAAGTCATCTATAACTTCCTTCCTTCCCCCATATACTTCAACCTTCTCTTCTACTTCTGAAAATATTTCATTCTAGTCTGAGAGCCTTCCACACCCACGCCCCACCCCCATTCCTTCCTTCGCCGTGCTGTGCTCTTACTTAAAAGGCCATCTCCTCTCCACAGGCCAAATCCCCTATCAACTCTTTAAGGCTCAGGGTTGCCTCCCTAACGCCTCTAGATCTCTGGGAAGAACCGTAACACTGCCTAGGTAAGTGCCTCACCTGTCCTCTGTGCACCCTGGCATGGGCCCCATTATCATTCTCGACTCTCAGCTGGTGCCACACACCCATGTCCCAATGCCACCTCCAATTCACAGCTCTCACTTCAGCTGCATTCTTTACGACTCAACAATCCTAACGGTCCAACAGGCCCGGGACCGCCCCTGTCAAAGCCTCACGGTCAATCAGCATCCTTACCAGAGCCCCGAGTCACTCCTTACCAGAGTCCTGAGGAATCACAGTGACTATTTCTAAGTTTTTAATTGCTAAGTAAGACAGTAAAGACTAAAATTCAAGCCCTAATCTTTCCAACTCCAAATCTAACTCATTCAACCACATACTGACTCTCAACCACACAGACTATAGAATGTACTTTCTAGATATTCCATCACTGTATGTCAAAAGCCAAACCTGTTAATACCAACCTGCTCTCTGAATGGAATCTATGAGAATTCTGTCCGCTGTGTCGTACTTGGTGTGATATATGTATCCATTTTCAATAAAAGCTAAGTCTATTCCTAAGACAAACAATGGAAAAAGTCATCTTACTTTAAAGATCAGACTTGTGTTAGGCCTGTTTAACATATTAAATTCTAAAAGACCAAATGGCAAAGCAGGAGGTTAACTGTCTGTCATATTCATGATGTCATAAACCCTTTTCTGTTCTTACAAAATCTGTAACCAGGGTCTATAATTTAAAATATAATTAAAGAAGCATTTTAAGTCACACATTAGGGAAGAAAGTTTGGGGAATAGAATTCAGGCGGTTAAGAGCAAGATTTAGGCCAGGCAGTGGTGGCGCACGCCTTTAATCCCAGCACTCGGGAGGCAGAGGCAGGCGGATCTCTGTGAGTTCGAGGCCAGCCTGGTCTCCAAAGCGAGTTCCAGGAAAGGCGCAAAGCTACACAGAGAAACCCTGTCTCGAAAAACCCAAAAAAAAAAGCAAGATTTAAAGTTCAAATAAACTATATAAGTCACCAAAGGAGTTGGAAAGGTAACACAACAGGGTGGGAGTCCAAGACCCTGAGGATCCTTGGCATCTCTGAGGATGAAGTACTAACCCATTCTCTCCATCTCCCACACTGTGGTACACACCAGCCTACAGGCAGCATTTCAGTTCCTATGGGTTTTTGAAGGATAGCATCAAGAACTCTACTCTGGTGAGTTAGAAGATAAAGCTTTCACATACAGTGTCCTCTCAGAAGCTATTCCAATGTTCAAGAAGTAAAGTCTGCTTTTGATACACTAGCCTGGGACTGCTGACAGAATACCTGGAATGTTTCCAAAATCCCTGTAGATTCGGAAGTCAGTATCGGAAGGAATGATTCCACTCTGAAAAACCTCCTGAGCCACCACAGAAGCAAAAGGGTGTTTGGCTGCTGAAACATAAGCCTGGACCAACCAAGGGTTTTCAGGGCCTGAAATGAAAGGAGACAACACAATACAAGGTTAATCAGAAAGCTCTGTTCAACATACCCACACGTGGCTGGCGGCACAGAGGAAATGTGAGCGACAGCTAATTGATGAGTATGGGGATTCTTTCAGGAGTGAGGAGAAATGTTCTAGGAGCTGGAGAGATTGCTCAGTGGTTATAGAGTTTTTGCTGCTCATGAGGACAAGAGTTCAGTGCCTAACACTCATGTCAAGGGGCCCACAAACACCTGGAACTCCAGCTCCAAGGGATCCTATGACCTCTTTGGACCTTTTTTTGGGTGCCTGCACAGAGAATACACACACATTCACAGGCATGAATGAGTACACACACATAAATAAACCTTTCCTTAAAATGCTCTAGAACTATGATAGTGGTACACAACCATGTAGAAACACCTAAAAAGAAAGCCACTGAATTTTACCATTTAAGTCGGTGAACTATAGGACATTTAAATTTTATCTTGATATATATTAAGGCATGATTTAAATATATATATATATTCTAAAGAAGGATACAGTTACAAAATATTATCACATTTTTAAGGAAATAATTGTTGTGAAATGGTGCTCAAGAGGCCTTGGTGAGTTTGAGCCAAGGAGACACGCCATGGCGGCAGCGGTCAAGGGGGCGTGGTGGAAAGTTACGCCATGCAGACATGGCATTCACATGGAAAGTTTTATTGGGGGGAAGAGAGCAGGGAAGGGAGGGCAAGGGAGAGAGAAAGGGGGAGTGGAGAATGGAGGTGCACACCTTGTGGGAATAGAAAGAAACGGGGGGAGGAGTTTTTTCTTTAAGGATGACATGGTCAGGATGCTGGATGGGTCCCCAAGCGGCGGGTATGAAAGCCAACATTCCCTAACAACGTCAGTGTTCATGTGCGTACATACACATTATTAATAAATCTCAGAAGGATGTAGAGCAAATTATAACACTGGTTTGCTCAGAGTGCCGCAAAGGCCATGAGTGTTTTACTTACAGATTTCTTGTTCTCAGTTGGTAGAGCCTGGATTTTTCAAAATGAAAAATACATTAATGGTTTAAATCTGTTTAAATTTTACAAGATTGTGTTTTACTAACGCCTTCAAAAATGATGTCAGCAAGCCTTCCCGACTTACTAAAGTGCTGGTCTGATAGGCCACTGTTTCTGACATTAAGTAAGGATGATCATTCCAGCCACCAAAAGCTCCCCAAATGAGCATTTCCCTCTGAAGTGACAATGGAGCTCTGGAGAGTACACACTGTTTTATCTGAAAAGCTAGGACAGGACAAGTTTCACTACACAGAAAAAAAAGCCGAAGACAGCCATCTGGCACACATTCTCAGTCTACATCTGCTGGCCTCCTTGTCAAACATGGAGACACTAACGTGCTTTCTAGAAGACGGCACCACAAGAGAGCTGGGCATGCATCTCTAGGCAGTGGCGTTATTTCTGGTTAGTGGAGCACAGAATGGGGTACTGGGATCATGAGTTAGAGTGCACTTCTGGCAGGAGAAATCTATAAGACAAGGCTGCTGCTCTACCAGAGCCTAGGATTTTCCCAGCAAGTGAGACTCACTGTTCTCCTTCCTTGGAGTTCTCTGCTGCTCGGCTTTGATCTGGTAGCTGTTGAATATGTTCCTCCTATCCTGGATGATAGCCAAGAAGCTGGAGGTGGAGGGGTGGATAGCTGCTACCTATCCCTACAGATGTTAGAGTTCAGCTGCTTCCCGCTGATTAAAGAGAAAATAGGAAAATTTGAGAGCTAAAAAAATCTTGCTGTATCTCACCTTATGACCTTGAATTTCTGTGTGTGTGTGTGTGTGTGTGTGTGTGTGTGTGTGTGTGTGTGTGTGTGTGCTTTTTCAGTCAAGGCTACATAGCCTTGGCTGACCTGGAACTCCCTATGTAGACCTGGAATGCAGCGCCATCTCTGCCTGCCACATACTGGGGTCAAAGGCCTACACACCACCAACCTGGCAGCCCTGAATTTCTTAAAGGTGTAATTGAAGCACAATACAGATCTATTTTTAATGTTAAGAGTATAAAGTTTGAGAGAGTATTGAAATATGGTACTGTTTAGGTTACAAAAAACACTTAGTACTTAGTGTAATTTCAAAACTCAAGCACTACCATGTCTTTTAAAGGTGCTACCAAGTTTCTATCACCTTGGTCATTTCCTCTAGCCCATCTCACCCAAAACACTACTCACCGTTAAGACTCCTAGCAAATCAGGCATGGTAGGACACAGCTATAATCCCAGCACTCTGAAGGTAGGGGCAGAAGGATCAAGAGTTCAAGGGCAGCCAGGGATACCAAGTAAGACCATCTTGACTAAAACATCAACACAAAAGCAGCTTTTGCAGAAGCTTTGTGTGTGGCTAAAATGCAGTGATGCTTTGTCCAAATTTCTAGCAGAGGCAGGACAAGAGACAGACTTTCCAACATCAGGTCTTAACAGGCCTTGGCTGAGCAAATCTGTGAGCTTTAGGTTCTACTAGGATAACAAGCATATGGTAGTTATTGATTATATCCTGTTATCTTCAGGAAAGCTTCAGCCTCAAATTTAAACTCTCTCCAGCTATTAAATATAATACCAGAGAGCTACTAAATAGAAATGGTTGCTTTCCACTTCTGATTTTTTTCAAATTAATACAGTGATGGAACTAAATCCCTTAAACTGTGGGTAAAATTTCTCATTTTAATTAATAATTATCATTTTAAATCCCTGTTGGGGGAATTCCTGAAGAGCTGCCACTGGTTTGATTCCAGAGTGTTAGCACCTAGCTTTTTGTGATTGCTACCTCCTGTCTCCTGCTTGAAGTCTTATCTAAGTTTCCTAGGGATTCGAAGCCTATGCAAACTTGGTTTAGGAACAACCCAAAGCACTGTGGTATTTCTTTACTGAGAATTTGCATTCAGCATTGTCCCTCTGTGGGGCTTAGATAAGAGGTTTTGGGTAGAAATTAACTTGTTAAAGGTGTGAATTGTTTAACAATAAATGGGCCTTTGCTAAGCTACAGTGGTTCAGTCTGGGGAGACAATACCCCCTGCAGCTGGAAAAGGCTAAGAATCATCCTCGAGGTGCCTCTATGTCGATACCATGGACCCATGTGAACACCCACGCCTGATACACAACAAATCTTACAATCATCCATAATTAATAAAAAATAACACTCACCATTATATGATGGTGATTTTTTAAATGGTTTTTCGACACAGGGTTTCT